ATAGTCTTCTATTTATTTTTGAAAGTCTAAAAATGAGTAATATAAGTTTACTAATCAATGATTGACCAGGCTGAGTACATTAAATATAAAGTTCAAAAAGCAGAAATAATTTAAAAAGCATGACTAAGAAACATGTAAAACTAAATGTGTAGAAACGATAAATAAAAGCAAACTTGAAATGTTAAACCAGAAATACAGAAGCTTTATAAAAACATAAAATAAAAATATAAGGTCAGAATTCAAAAAAAGTAAAACCCAAGGTACAAAATATTCTTAAATGATAATAAAATAACTTGATATTTTTACTGGAATGTTTGCAGAAGTTCTATTAAGTCTAGGTACAAATTCTATAGCAAATGGAACAAAATGAATTATTATTATATTCTGTCTCTCAAAGATTTCACAGTTTACTAAAACATTACTTTGAAATATAATTTGCCCATTGTTGAACACTGAGTTAATTATCAATGTGCCTGAGTAACAGAGCTTCGGGTTTCCCCATTCTTCATTCCTCAGTTCACCATTCATATGGTCAGGTAGCATCAGAATGATCAGATTAATATGAGAATGTTCACTCTTTACATGTTCAATCCCCAGTACTGAAAACCAAAATCAAATAAATAAGTTCAATCAAGAGAATAATAAAAAATCATAATAAAAATCAAGTATAATGGAAAACCAAAGAATGCTAGGCACTGAAATTAGTATCCTAAAACGCTTTTTATTGTTTAAAATTTTTAGATTTTAGATTTTAAATGTCCAATTTCATACATACTTGACTTGTGACTTGATCTAGTTTCTTCTTTATTCCTGTGTCTCCTCTTCTAAATTAAGGTGACAATCAGACGAAACTTCAAGTGAAGCCCGTTCTTGTTGAAGTGGTCTCACTGCTACCTGGTAAGATATTTCTGTTAATGATTTTATAAATCACCTTATGATTTCTGGATATTAACCATACTTAACTCTTACATAGTTCTCTGAAAAATATCACCACATACATCAATCTATCTCCCTGGATGCGCTCTTATTTCTGGATTCTGTTGAGGACACAGAAGGTGTTGTCTTCATGTCTGATCACTTTTATGTTCTTTAGACAACAGATTCAGCCCTCTATCTGTTCCTCCCCTGATGCAATGCTTGACAACCTACTGAATTCTCAAATATACATGAGTATGTGGATTGGACTAGGGCTGGTGAATTCTACAGAGAACATTACCCCCTTTTTTCTTAGAGGCTCAAATTGACACCAGAGTTCCTCACACATTTACTCCTCTGCTCAAGTCTTTCCAAAAGATTCCCAACTAAGAATTAAAAGGAGACCCTAGGTGACCTGGCCTCCACCTCCTTCCCTGACCACAGCTCCTAAAACTTGCTCCACTCCTCACTCCATTCCTTGTGTACGTGAGTCCTGCCACACTTTGCTAGTCTCAAAATGGGGATTCAATGCCCAGTTAGTGAACCACAGAGAGCTACAATTATCTTTGCATTGGATGAAGTTGTATCCTTTACGACACTAACAGTTAAGTCTGAACAAGTTGTCTGCAAACATGCACGATTAATGACAGAAACGATGGGTAGCTTAAATCAACTATGATTTTCCAGCCATTAATCCTATTATGATTTCACAAAAAGTAGATGCTTTGAAAGAGGTTTGTGGTCATAAAAAATTGAGATGGTGATTTTCAATTCTACTACTACTGCCATGAATAAAAGAACTAAGCAGAATAGATAAAATGCTAGTGAAGGAGAATTATTACAAAATATATCATCTACACTTCGGCTCAGCTGTCAAAATAGCCCACTTAACTCAATTTACATATGAGCATTTCTTTTTGTCGACTTCATCATGGTCTTAAAACAAGGGACCATAAAGATATTACAAATATTATTCAAGGGTGGGACATAGTTCACTGGGAGAGAATGTGCTAAGCATTTGCAAGAACTTGGGTTCAATTTCCAGCAGTGTAAGAGAGAGTGATAAAGTAAACATGGTAAGTCCTTAACACATGAAGGGTATGTGGGGATTCTTGGTACTGTAGCAAGCTTTCTGTAAGTCTGACATTGAAAGGTTTTCAAAATATGTTTTCATGTTTGGTTTGCTTAATTACATTCCAATAGAAATCCATACATGATATTTGGTTGGTGTGGAACTTCTGGGTCTTGTAATCTACAACAGTTCATATTTCTTTTCTTAGTGCTGCTTATTTGTGTGTGAAAGTGGATCATTTGTTTAGTTTGGTTTGGATTTTTTCCTTGCATGACATGTTCCTGCAAATTATTTCATAGCTTGATTTAATATTTTTTTCCTGAATGCATTTTATTTTTTAATTTGTTTTAATTAGTTACACATGACAGTACAATGATCTTGACATATCATACATTTGAATCAGATGGGGTATAATTTCTCATTTTTCTGAGTGTACAGGTTGCAGAATCACATTGGTCATGCAGTCATGTATATACATACAGCAATAATAATGTCAATTTTATTCTGTTGTCCTTCCTTTCCTCCCTTCCCCTCTCCTCCCCTCCCATCAGTTCTCTCTACCCAATCTAATGTGACACACTTTTTTTTCCATTTTCCTCACTTTGTCATACATGTATTCTGTATAACGATGAGGGTCTCCTTACATTTTCCATGCAATTCCCCTTCTCCCTTCCTTTCCCTCCCACCTCTCTTCCCTATCTAGAGGTAATTTTCTTCTCATGCTCTTCGTCCCTACCCCATTTTGAGTCATTCCCCTTATATCAGAGAAAACATTTGTTTTTTAGGGATTGGCTCACTTCACTTAGCATAATCTGCTCTAATGCCATCCATTTCCCTGCAAATGCCATGATCTTGTTATTTTTTAGTGCTGAGTAATATTCCATTGTGTATATATGCCAATATTTTTTATCCATTCATCCATTGAAGGGCATATCTAGGTTGGTTCCACAGTCTAGCTATTGTACATTATGCTGCTATAAACACTGATGTGGCTGTGTCCCTGTAGTATGCTGTTTTTCAAACTAAAAAGTTTTTTTCTCAGCAAGAGAAATAATATGTGAGGTGAATAGGGAGCCTACATCCTGGGAACAAATTTTTACCCCTCATACATCAAATAGAGCTCTAATCTCTAGGGTATAACAAAAACAAACAAACAAACAAACAAACAAATAACCCAATCAGCAAATGGGCCAAGGACCTGAACAGACACTTCTTAGAAGAGGATGTACAATCAATCAACAAATACAGGAAAAAATGCTCACCATCTCTAGCAATCAGAGAAATGCAAATTAAAACTACTCTAAGATACCATCTCACTTTAGTAAGAATGGCAGCTATTATGAAGTCAAACAACAACAAGTGCTGGCGAGGATGCGGGAGGTGGGGGGAAGGTACACTCATACATTGCTGGTGGGACTGCAAATTAGTGTAGCCAATTTGGAGGGCAGGATAAAGCTTGAATAAGCTTGGATAAAGCTTGGAAAGCTTGGAATGGAACCACCATTTGACCCAGCTATTCCTCTTCTCAGACTATACCCAAAAGACCTAAAAGCTTAATTAAATTTGAATTCAAGTGAATAACTATATTTTTAATATCAGTATAGGTATATTAAATATTTGTAAATTAATATCTTCAAGCTTCATAGGAAACACAATGCCTTTTTTACTCAATGTACAGCATTGAGTAAAAATATCTCAGATTCAATATTTTCAATTGTTTTTGGTAAATTTTGCTAAAAATTTACCAAAATTTAAAAATTGGTGAGGCCAATTTGGAAAGCAGTATGGAAATTCTTGGGAAAGCTGGGAATGGATACACCATTTGACCCAGCTATCACCCTTCTCGGACTATTCCCTGAGGATCTTAAAAGAGCTCACTATAGGGATACTGCCACATCAATGATCATAGCGGCACAATTCACAATAGCTAGACTGTGGAACCAACCTAGATGCCCTTCAATAGATGAATGGATAAAAAAATGTGGCATCTATACACAATGGAGTATTACGCAGCACTAAAAAATGACAAAATCATAGAATTTGCAGGGAAATGGATGGCATTAGAGCAGATTATGCTAAGCGAAGCTAGCCAATCCTTAAAAAACAAATGCCAAATGTCTTCTTTGATATAAAGAGAGCAACTAAGAACAGAACAGGGAGGAAGAGCATGAGGAAAAGATTAACATTAAACAAAGACGAGTGGGGGGAGAGAAAGGGAGAGAGAAGGGAAAGCATATGGAAATGGTAGGAGACCCTCAATGTTACACAAAATTACATATAAGAGGTTGTGAGGGGAAAGGGGGGGAACAAGGGAGAGAACTGAACAACAGCAGATGAGGTAGAGAGCGAAGATGGGAGGGGAGGGGAGGGTAGATAGTAGGGGATAGGAAAAGTAGCAGAATACAACAGTCACTAATATGCCATTATGTAAAAATGTGAGTGTGTAACTGATGTGATTCTGCAATTTGTATTTGGGGTAAAAATGGGAGTTCATAACCCAATTGAGTCAAATGTATGAAAGATGATATATCATGAGCTTTGTAATGTTTTGAACAACCAAAAAAAAAGTAATTTTAAAAATTATTGATGCTTCGGAAATAAGAACTATAAGGTACCTATGTTCTAACATAAATTAATAAAAATCTTGTATATTTGAAATTCACAATAAAATTTATTTTGTATTCTGAAAAAAAATTTTTGAATGCAGTACTATGTACCTCTGAATCTTCAGTTTTAATTACCACGTAATTGTACATATTTATAACGTACAGTGTGATATTTCAAAGCATGTATACAATGAATAATGACCAGAGCAGGGAAATTAGCAGACATCACTTCAAACATGGATTATTTCTTTGTGTTGGGAATTAGGTCAAATGTGAATTTGGCAGAAGTGAGGTTGTTTTGGAGTTGATAGAGCAAATACATTTATAGTGTATGGATTTTTCCACACAATTAGATTCAACATTTAGCCATAAGCAAACATTACTTTGAATTCTCCTTCAAAGGTAATTCATATGTTTTTATGCTTGGTACTTACTGTTCTTTCTGTTTTCTCATTTTCATATTGATTCAGTCTTTCTTCAATACGATCACATTTACTGCTTAATTTATTAATTATGTTTTCCAGAATGAGATAGTGGTTTTTAGTCTCAGCTCGAAGTTTTTCTACAATATCATGACATTGCTGTTGGATACTTATTACTGTGTCTTTATTGACAGATTCATTGTGAGGTTTGTGCAACTGCTGTTGAAGCAATGTATTTTCAGTCTGTGGTTGTAATCTCTCCTCTGTGGAATCCTGCTTCCCATCATATTTATTCACTTTAGTTTGTTCATTGTGATATGTGTATTTAATTTTCTTTATCTGACACTGTGTTTGCCGTAGGTCTCTTTGTAGAGTTTCTAAATTCAAAGTCATTTCTTTAACAGCATGTCTTGTCTGACAGACTTTATTTTTTAGGCTACAGAATCTTTCTTCATACTTAACAAGGTCTTCGGAAACAACCTCACTATGAACTTTTAGGCGAGAGATATCAAAGTTCATTTTGGCCTGTGAACGCAAGTATTCCTCTCTGGTTGACTGGAAAGCAAATTCTTGGTATCCTTTTGATGTCTGGCCTTCATAATGATGGAAGGGTTCAGCAGCCAATGTGGCATGGTACGACTTAACTTCTGTTTCCAGTCTTTCCCTGTTTTCTTTTTCATACTCCAGTTGAAATTTTAGCATTGTTATCTCACCTTTCATCTTATTAAATTGTTCATTATCCTGGAATGGATTCGCTCCAGCTGTTTCCTCTTTCTGCTTGATTGTCTTTTGAAGGTCATCATACTTTCCTTTTAAAATTTCAATATCCTCAAGGTATTTCTTTTCCTTTTCTTGGTTCTCATGTTTTATTGTGTCTATTTCTATTCTTTTCCTAGCAATTATATCCTTTATCCTGTGATATTTATCCAACAGATCTTTTCCCATTTTATTGCTAGTAGAAACCTAAGCAAAACCAAGGAAATAGTTAGCTAGCACTCATTTCCAAAAATTATATATATATAAATTTTTCTCCAGTTGGAAATTTTTCTCCAGTTGGACTCCATTCATTGCAACACTTTATATATATATGGAGAAAAATTAGAGCTAAACTTCAGACCTTATAAAAGCATATATTCCCAGAAGTTCAAAAAGTTAATTGAAGGGAATCTATGAGAGTACAAAAGAAATGATAAGTTATAAGAATCTCAGAATTAAAGAACACTTTTCCTGAAGTACAACAGACCCAAGACATAAAATCAGTGATTAATAGCTGTGACCATGCTTAAAAAAAGGTTTACATTCTAATATTTAGAACCAAGCCATAGTGAGAGCCTTAGCTGTACATATACTTGACTGATAAAAATTTTCCAAAATTCTTTTGGTTTTCCATTTCTGAAAATGTTCTATACACATTCTACTTCTCAAAAATAGAAACACAAATTGACAAGAATATATGAAAAATCTTCAGCATCTCTAGAAATTATGGAAATGCAAATTAAAATTACACTAAGATTTCATCTCATTCCAGTTAGAATACCAATGATCAGGAACATGAATAATGACAAATGTTGGTGAGGATGTGGGAGAAAGGCACTCTCTTTACATTGTGGCTGGGACTACAAACTAGTACAACCAGTCTCAAAAGCAATGTGGAGATTACTCAAAAAACTAGGAATGGAATCACCATGTGATGCAGCTATTCCAACTCCTCCTTGAATATCCAAAATATCTAAAATCAGCATACCACACAGCAATACACTTCAAGGTTTATTGCAGAACAGTTCACAGTAGCCAAGCTATGGAACCAGGCCAGATGTCCATTAATGGATGAGCAGATTTAAAAAAATGTGGTAAATATACACCACAGAATTTTACTCAGCCATAAAATAGAATGTTACAAGGGCATTTGCCAGTAAATGGATAGAAATGGGGAAAATCATGCTAAGTGAAATAAACCCAACTGAAAATCAAAGGTCGAATGTTTTCCTTCATAAGTGGAAGCTAGAGCATAATATGGGAAAGAAGCCAGTGGGAGAGGAGATCAGAGAGCAGAAAGATACAGGAAAGATGAGTGAAGTAGATGTAGGAGAATGAGAGGTAGGAAGGCAGAAAAGGGGAAGATAAATGGAACGAATTTAACAAAATCATGTTATATATTCATATATAAAGATACCAAAGGCAATTTCACTTTAATGCATATAGAAAAAAAGGATGCTTAATAGAGAAGAGAGGAGGATAACAGGAAGGAGAAAGTGAGGAAAAGAGGGGGAATGGGGCTTGAAATCAAATTGCACAATGATGAAATTACTGAAGGACACCTTTCTCAGATCTTATCCCAATCATTAAGTGAAACATGACCACATATATTAAATTATACAAATAATATAATTAATGTTGAAATAAAGTAAGAAATTTGACACTTATTTTACCTGCTTTAACTTATTTCTTTCAGTATTCAGTTCCATATCTCTTGTTTTCAGAGCCATTTCAAGTTGTCTTTTTGTTTCCATTTCTTTATTATAATCCTCTTCTTTTTCTCTTAACTGGTGCTTAATTATTTTCAAAAGATGATCAGCATTTTTTCTCTTCTTCTCTTCTTCTTGTAGTTCACATCTGTAGTTAAATAAGTTATCTTAAAATTCATTTTGTTAGAAAGAAAAAAGTTCACTTTATGAACTGCTCTTCATATGTTAATTTATTATCCTAATACAAATTCTGTGTTCTCAAATACACTTCCCTTCTTGTTTTCACATTTTATTTCCTACTTCAATAACTCTCTAAGGGGATATATCTATATATAGAAATAAAAGGTTTAGATATATAAAGGTAATAAAGAACATTCTGTGATTGGGTAAGATTCTGTTACTAGCAACTCTGGTAGAAATTATGCAAAAGAAATTTTGAGATGATTCTGTAAATTCACAAGTTGAAACTTAATTTAAGTATTCCTCCTGAATTCTAAATATGATTTAAAGTTGTTTTAAAAAATTATTGTTTAAAAACCAGTTTATAAGTTTACTGGAAATAAGGTTTATCTTCATGAAACATGAAACATATCCCTTGAAATGATTCACAATGTAATATAGTACCTTCATAGGTTTTCATACAACACACAACAGCACATTACTATATTATACTCCTAGTCTAAGGAGTATAAATCCTTGTATTACACTTTTTATTATTTCTTTTTGGGTAACACTTTCAAGTGATCTTGTTGATTATTATGTACTTTATAAACAATGTAAAAATTGTTCCAAGACAGAACCTTATATTTAATCCAATAATAAAGAGTATATGTCCTTTTACCAGAGAAATTTGAACTTATTTTATTTATATATGAGAAAAATTGAATAAAATAGTCATCACTTTTTAATTCATATTTTATTTCATGGGTCTTAAGAATAAGACAGCATCTGGGGATATAGCTCAGCAGGAGCAGACCTATACACTTGAGCAAAATCCTGGGTTCCATCCCAGGCACTAGAAGAAAAAAATGTGTAATTTTTCAAAACATGTTTCTTCATTGAGGAAAATGCCCATTTCATCCTCTCTTGGAATACTAAATTTACATAAATTTTCTAGAGTACAATTTAGAAATACTGATCAAATACCTTTTAAAAATGTCTCTACTTTAAATAAATAATTGTATTTTGAAGGATGTAGTCAAAATAAACATATAGAAAACAATTCCTATAAATGAAGTTTCTTGAAGCAATGATTGCCATACAAATTTTTTAAATGAATAAAATACAGTCGAAAACTTTTATTTGTTAATGAATATTGAGATTCCTGTAAAGTGGGCTTTTATGTAGCCAGTAGAATTGTGATTGGGAAGAATATGCATTCAACTGGTGGAAGTAATCATTCCTACCAACTTGTTTTTATTTCCAAGATTTTCACACTCTAGAAGAATTAGAAGTTTTCTCCCTTATGAAATGCCAAAAGGTAAGTCAGGAAATACAAAATGTCCTATGCTTGTATAATTTTATCAAAATGGATTTTTCTCTCATGTGTAACTAAGAAGAACTAATAAAATTATTTTTTTCCAGCAAAAAAAGGATCATTCAAACATTTCTTTAAAGTTAGGATATCATACCTCAAATTAGAGAGTTCCTGTTTCCACTCTGCTTTTTCATGCTCTAGCATGGCATTTACTTTTTTTGCATCTGATAGCTTCATTTTCAGTCCACAAACTTTAGTTTCCATCTTTGTAAGTTTTTCTATAAATAGTAAACACTGTGAACAGTGACATTTTCTATGTTTAATTGTTCTTTGAGATGAAATAACTGCATCCTCGATTTTGGATAGGCTCACAGAATCTATATAATGGAAAAAACATGAAGCAATGATTGCAATGCAAATTTTTTAAATGAATAAAATACATTCAAAAATTTATTTTTTTAAAACAATCAACAATAAATTTTTAAAACAAATATGATAAAAATCAAATATGTGAATATTTTTCATATATGAAGGACTGTACATTTTCACAGGCACTCATGCACTGAAGAAATGCACGTGGAGTGCCTACAACTTTTGGCACATTATAATATATTCTGTAGAAAAACCTACCAGATGAGATCCATGTTCTTCTTTAGCTTAAAGTGTAGAGGAGAAGACAGACAAATAAATGGATAATGTAGGGAAACAGAGTTCTGTAATCACATTATGGAATCAGAGCTACAGAAAGTTTTCCCTGAGGAAAACATGACTCCCCAGAGAAATGAAAATTATCAGGAAGCAGCTGGGCAGAGGGTGAAGAAGAACATTCCAGTCAACATACAGCATGTACTGAGGCTCTATGACAATCTGCTTTTGGCCAAGAGGAAGTAACAGGTACTGATTCCTGATCCCACCAGAAACTACCCAAACCAAAACAGGCCAAAGATATTAAACGGCATTTCCCAAGACCGTGGACACTTCAGACAATGAGGAAAATGATCCCCAGTAGACAGGAAACAAATGATGTAAGCTTTTTAAGTGTGCCATCTCCCTGTTGTGAGAGCTTCAAGGTGGTGATTCAAGAAGAACAAGCAGAAGGAGAGTCTACCAGCCTCTCTGAGCTGAGGTGATGGAGCTGAGATTCTGGTAAAACCAAGACACAGAGACATCACAGGATAGAGCAGGAGAGGAGAAAGTACTACAGAGAAAGAATCCTGGACATCTGCAGAGGACCCCCTTTGAATTTTTAGCAGACTAATGGACGACAAAGGAGTGCCAAGAGCAACCTGAGACCCAAAGAAAAAGCATTGCTTAAGGTTAGAGGAACCGTCTCCTGTTCACTGAGTGCCAAGAAGGGTGTCTCTGCCCATCAGTCAATCTGGAAAAATAGATATTTCACAGGATAAGGGTAGAGTCATCAGCAACTCCCAGTAGTGGAGAATTCATAACCAGCTGATCACCTGAACAATCACAAAAACAAGACTGGGAAGGATATCAAGCTCATTACTAGTAACCAGACTGACTTCCAAAATAAAATTCAGAAGGAGAAGAGGAGGATGAAAGATATAGTTAAAAAAGAAATACCAACTACACTTGAAGGGAGGAACACTGATAGAAATGAAAGAGCATGATGATAGGGTAGTCCAACTACATTAACCATTGAACAATACAGGATTAAACTCTGGGAGTTGTCTTATACACAGATTTGTTTTAGGAAATTAGAATCAATTTGAAAGATCTCAGAGAAGTCAGGAGATGTCAAGTATATAACTGCACTACTCAAATAATTATGTAGTTACCTCCTGTGGTTACTGAGTTGTTATGAACAGCTGCATAAAAGGTCCCATGATGCTAATTATCTCCCTGGGAGTAGTTGGTCTCCAGCAAATTGGCTATGACAGTAAAAAATGATCTCTCACAGTTTTTATACATTTTCCCTCATATTCAACATCTTTAACATACAAAATATGTTAATTGTTTCTATTAGGAAGACAGCTTTGGTCAACAGCAGTCTATTAGTA